GCAGGTTATTAAGAATTTGAATGTGGAGCAATCATATAGATAGCATAATTTTTCCACAATACTCAGTATCCAGTACCTTACTCCCATCCTCCAGCAGTTCCATCTCTCAAAAGGGCTTGCAGAATATATGTCTTTCAATTAAGCTTTGGCTTATTTAAGCCTCTGCCTGTTTTACAATCAACTTAATGTTCCTGGCAAACACAGAAGCCAAGACATGCAATTCAATTACCTGTTATGTTGATCTCTATAATTCACATAGACATTTCTACAGCCAGCTGCACCTTGCAAGGATTTGAAATACAGCTGTTTGCAAACAACTATCTAACATAAAGACTTGAAGTTATCTTGTACTAATTGCTAGAAGACACAGCTGAGGACAGAAGAACTGTTTCAAAATTACTGTACGCCCAAGGAACATTGTGAGCCAAGATTTACAACCAGCAGTCTCCACAGACATTTCACTTGCCTCGTAACTTTTAATTTTTTAAAATAAAACATGCTCATTAAAATGTTTTGAAGAGTCTGAGCAGTATTATGAACATTAGGCCTGCTTAATGAATCAAGAGTTTTTTTTTAATTTTGTGTTTTCCTTCTTGATCCTGAGATGTTTGGTACAACAATTACATATGATTAATTCTACTAATATCAATGAGACTTCAGCTGTTTATAACTTGCAGTGAAGAAAAACATGTTCTCTAAAGTTTTTAAATCTTTCCACCTTCCCATTCTTGCCTACAGGCCAGCCACATAGTTTTAAAGGTTCTATAAACAACTAGGTTCCTGTACCAAGCCTGGTCACACAGGCCAACTCTGTCAAGGGTCATGGCTCACAATAATTACAAAGTGCATTGAAGTCAATACCACCGCACTGCATACGGTGCTTTAAGAATAGTATTGTGGTGGTTAATTTTACCATTTTGTGATGCATTTTGGGAAGACACATTTTTCTTCAATAAATTAATCAAACAAACTCAACTACTCCAGGGAGTCAGCAGCCAGAATCCTACTGCCCTGTAAGGGAAATTGTGTAAGTCTTGCAGGCAAATCGCTGCACATTTATGAGATAATAGTGCACTTCTTGGTGCCTGCATGCCCAGGAAGGCAACCAGCACCTTGTTAATGATTGGCAACTTCCCAACAAGACTTCAGTGTAAATCAGCAATTGCATTCTAGCCAATCTCTCAAAATGCTAACAGATTCATATAAACATAAGAAGAAGTCTTATACTGTATACAACCATTAATCTACCTCGTTCTGCATTTTCACTCTGACTGGCTGTCAGAGGGTCTCATGAAATGTGGTCCCCATCAGCTCCTAGCAGATTCTTTTAGTTGCCCTAGAAATGTTACTGATGTTTGGGGCATAAATTTAAAAAATGATATTAAACTGGAGATGCCAGAAGCTGAACCAGACACTTCTACACACAAAGCATGTGTGCTATCGCTGGCATTACAGCCTTCACAGAGTATATTTTGCCTTTGCCTTCAGCATTTTCAATAGATCACACTACATCATTCCATCCCATACTACAAAAATTCCTATGGTTTGCACTGGTTTTTCTATTTCAGGAATATATTATTTATTATTTCAGCTTGTATACTACTCCATAATGCAGAGGACTCTCTGGGCGGTTCACAACACAGTCATACAAATCACATTAACAAAATAATATCTCATGCATATCTCAGCACATTCAATCAAATTTATGAAGGTCTGGATGAGACCTAAGACAACTTAATCATGTTCCGTACAGAGACATAGACTGAATTTGAAGGATTAAGGAATAATTTACACTCTTGCAAGCATCTACTCTCACCTCCTCAAGGAGGTTGCCACCCATCTAGGATGGATCAGCATTTTTGTAAAATTTCAGATCAACACTATTAAATATCTACAGCAATACTTAGAAATAAATGTCAAATATTTGGGAAACAGATGTTACAGGGGAAATTCAGCCATATCCTACGAAACATTAGAGTACTAGCACTCTATCAGTTTGATGGCTTTTGGAGCAGAGATAATTTAAATGCATCAAGACAGCCTTGCCTAGCCAACATTAAGATAAAACACACGAATATGAACTAGCATATCACTCTCACATCCTACAAAAAGATGTTTTCAGCACACGATTCACCTGAGCCAGCATAAACAACTGTGTTACTTTTCTTTCTCTCTTGGAAATCTCCTCATTTAGGGAAAAAAACATACTCGAGAACAGTTTTATTTCTAACTCTGCTATTTACTGGGGTAGGTTAGCAGCAATTTCCTCTAGCTATTATCTTTTGAGTTTCTTCAAAGAACAAGCACTTCAAACACCTTGAGTAAGCTTTTTACTATTTTGACTTGGCTGCAGAAACACTATTAAAAACAGAACCAACTTTAAAGGATGAAAAGTATAAATTTTCTCTAAAGTTATATGGTAAGGCGCAACACTGCAGTACTTGGCTTTAAGTCAAGGATGGTTTGGGAGGCAGACCTCTGGAACTTGTTTCTAGATCACTATGGTGCAGGGATGACCATTCAGAAACAATGACCATGATTCCGAATAACTGATTTCAGAACAAAGGCTTCATCATACTTGAGCACTGTAATCCTTCTTCCTGTATCACATCACATTTCACTCTGAAATCTTCCCTAAGATTTCAGAACAGTTTTCCTATATGTCAGTAAATGTTCTCATTTGAGAAACACAAATTCAAAGATAACTATATTGTTCTTCACATCCAGACCATTCTAAGTAATCTTACACTCTAGTTTCAGAGGCTGTGACTGAAGAACTCCATATTTTTAATTATTTAATTCTTTAACCCAGATCACCATTCCATATCACAAACTTTTTCTACACAACCTCTTTGCAAAACAGAAAATTTCAAAGCAAAGCAAAATGTCCTGTTTATATACTGCCCCACTGCACTCAAAGCACTCTCTGGACAGTTTAGAATTTAACTATGCAGGCACACTCCCCCCCTCCATTTCTCTTCCAGAATTGTATCAGGTCTTATATTGTCTTCCTCTTAATACAAAATCAGTAAATTTTCCCAATATGTCCATAAACACATATCTCATAGTTACCCTTCTCTTAACCTGAATACTACTGTGAGTTTATCATTGACTGTTATATCTCAGACCTCCTACCTATACCAATCACCTAACAAAAGATTATTAACTATTTTCCAATTCTTAGCTATAATCAATCTCACTGCTGTTAACAGAATGGAAATGAATTATTTAGTTGTCGAATTACCTATCTCTGTTTCAAATCTTGATAGAAGTGCTATTTTAAGATAGACGGCTAAGTTCAAATTACTTATTTCATTGGTATACTTAAAAACCAATTGCCAAAATTTCGGCATGTTTTTGCATTCCTATCACATATGAAAATAGGTATTTTCTCCAGCAAATCTTAGAGTGCTTATGTGAGCACACTGGCATCCATCTTGGATCCCTCCTCAAAGCCTGCTTTGTTTTCACTATGGCCTTGAAACCATGCAAGCCTATGTACCATGTTTTCCCAGCCTATGTGCGCTTCTGCTTTCTCCTCTGTAACTTTCAGCACGTCCCTCACGCCCATATCCCATGCCGCCCATATTCTATGCCCATATTTGGTCAACCCAAAATGCAACCAATCACAACTAATTGGGTATCTCTTTTGTATCTCTTTTGTACCTATCTCCCTAGTTTAACTAGAAGTATGTAACCAAGGGCATGCCCCTTGCCCATGGTCCCTCTTTGGCACCCAAGAGGTCTCATATCTGAATAAAGCAATTTTACTCTTTCTACTGAATCGGAAGTCTGTTGTTCCTTTGCCTAGCAGGATGGTATTCCTGTCTGCCACATTCCAACGTGTGGGTCACACTTACCACCTATCTGGTTAAATTTCAGTGGTATTAAGTACCATATGCAAACTAATTGATACAATTTTTCTTTTATCTTTATTGACGTAGATTTCAACATTCTAGTGTTCTACACATATTTCCAAGCTGTAGTTTCTTTCTTCTCCCACACTGAATTCCCATAACAATTTGAGTAAGTCCTCCTGATCATCTGCTTCCAATAATATATTATAGATTTTACTTACTATATCCTTCACTACTTTATCACCTTCACTTTCCTTTTGTAATAGAATTCTTTCATATTTTATAAATTCCCTTCATTTACTGTTGGTTTTTTATCCAAGTCTTTGTCCACTGTTCTAATTTTCCATACTCTATTTTGGATCTTAAATTGCATTTCTTGGCCTGCTTGCTTCTTACTGATTGACATGAAATAGGAAAAACCAATTGTTAATATCATGTCAACTCCAGGAGAAGTCTGGCTGGATAGCTCGGTGTTGGGGTTTTTTAACAGGAGAGGTTGGGGGGGGGGTTTAACTCCCCACTGTGCCTCCTTGGCAGTGACTGGACTTGATAGGGTCCTTGCAGCTTTGCAGTTCTAAGATGAAGGAGAAATGATTCTGTGCCTCCTTGACAGTGGCTGGACTTTATGAACCACAGGGTCCTTGCAGCTCTGCAGGTCTAAGATGAAGGAGAAATTATTCTTCACCTTTAAAAAAAACACCCAAGTTGTCTGAGGTGCAGTACTTATCTAACTAATTATCCTTCCCTTCATGATACTAGCACATCAAAAGGGAAAAATGGTTGTCAAAATACTAAGTTCAACTGTATGGACTATTACAAGTTTGCCTCCTACTCTTCCTTCTAAAGTTGAAATCTAATTAATAGATTGATAGCTAGTACAGTAATAATGTGCAAATAATGAATATAATGAATTCTGGAAAATATATACTTTGCTAATGAAAATACTATTCCAGCAATATATGCAACACTATGGACTAGTGTAAGACTAATTTGAGTTCTTACTGTACTTCAGGCCTGTTATAATAACAAAACTACTATCGCTGGGAACAAACTGCCATTTACAGAGTACAGAAATTCACAGGAAATATGAATGGACAGTAGAAGAAACTTTTAGACCAAAAGTATTAGATTAAACAGACTCACCTCCCCTCATTAACCTTTACTTTGTTTCCGCGGCATATGAAGTTCTCAACGTAGCCTGCACTGCAGTTGATCTTCGGCCAATCTGGGTCACATATTGCCAGAAAGTGAGGTCTCAGTCTACCTATAGAGTACTTGGCAATGTCTGTCAGAGACTGGCTGACAGCTGCTCCAAAAATGAATGTCCCAATCGCTTTGTAAATGGCTGCAATATAGTTGTTTCGCACAAATGAATTGGAGTGCAAACGGTTGTAATACACAGATAGCGCCTCTCCAATAATAATCTAGAACAAAACAAAAACAGAACAAAATTGTAAAAGAAAATAATTTTGTACCTTCAGAGTATGAAGCCAATAAAAAACATTTCTCAAGCAGTGTTTCTGTATGTTTGTAGATTCAGGTTTGAATTAGCCACATGAAAGAGTTAATAACGGTTCAATTACGGAGCAAATTATTTCTGGAAACTTAATGGATGTCTGATCCAAATGACTGAGCCAAAAGTCACTGGTGAAAACAGGAACTTCTGTTCTTTCCTTATTTGATTACAAGGTGAAGGTTTACATGAATGAGATGCACAGGCACTGGGAACTCTTCACCTCTCTTCCCAGAGAGAACAACATTTCCCACAATCTTTTATAAAAAGGCCTAGTGGTAGCACTCTCAGCACATTTCATTCTTCGTCAAGTTTCCACTCATTCTTAGCCTTCTGCTCAAAAGAAATAATTTCTTTGCCAAGAACGTGATCACTCTGGAAATTCAGGAACCATGTTAAAGAACCAGGCAGGAATGTTCTTGCCAGGGATGTTAAAGGCCAAGTTTTAAATATGGGAACCTCCCATACTTCAGCAAAATGGAATCTTTTAAAAGAACAGATTTCCTCCAGGACACAAAGCTTTACAGAAACAATAGTCAAAGCCTCAGGAGTGGAAAGGTGGTACAGTACTACAAGAAAATACTGCTTTGTAAGCCTGAAGTTCAGGATTGCTTTTTTGCCTAAACAGTGATACACAATCTTCATACCGCAATAGACCGAGGACAAGTGTCGATGGGCAAAAGTTCAATCTCAAAGGAGCACAGCTCATCTCAAAGGAGATCTGGCTTACTGGGATTGTTGTCTGCACTGTACTATAGAAACCGTGTATTGAAAATGGCTTTCTTTTATATCCTTGGAAAGAAATCCACTTTCTTGCTACAGCTTCACCATTAATTAAAAAAAAAAACAGCTACTTTTAAGATCTAATTAAAGGCTTTTGGTTGGTAGTCTCTGATATGGAAATAAACTCTCCATAGGAAGTACTATACCGTTAAACTCTGCTTCCCTACAGCAAACCCTTCAACAAAAAGACCCTCTCAGGAACACCAAGGAAAAGCACGGGGAAAAGGCACAGATCATACCAGATCAGGGTTTATACTGAAAATTAGCAAAGCACCGGTGCTGAATAAGGTGATTTTATAAGACCTTTTTGCTTCATCCGGACAAGCACTAAACTGAATGCTTCCACTTCTGTTGTCAGCAAACTTTATTCAAAACAGTAGCTAAGGATAAGAAATGGACTAAAAATGGCACAATATCAGTTTAGAGCAATGCAAAGTTGAAAAGATTTTTCATTAGTACAGATTGCCAACCATGGCCAAATGTTACTACTTATAATGAACACAACCTGACAATAATTTCTACCAATTTTCTTCACCATTCACAAGTCACCAAGATGCAACATAGGACATAGGAGCAGTTCATTCAGTAATTCCAGAGGTGCTGTGCTGACAATCTGCCCTCTTGCTTGTTTAAGGACTGCAAGTCAACTGTCCTACACCTCAAACACAGAGGTAGCCAGAACACTTACAATAGTACACTGACTGGGTTGAAAAAAAATTGAAAATACATTGACTCCCCCTTCTTTCCAATACTGCATTTCTCTTTATTAGCCTCAGAACATAAAAACCCAGAGTCAACACTTTAGAAAGTTAGTCCAAAGCACAAGACACAGAGCTTTGGAAAACTGTTTCTTTCACCTACCATCGCATGTCCAGTTTTGTTATAGAAAGAACCGAAAGCTTGTGTGCATTATTATACTTTCTGAGAAGCTTGCATTTGGGTGTTGAATTCTAAGCTCTCCACCTTGCAAGGCTTTTTTTACTGTTTCTCTTTCAATAAACCTCTCTTTCCTATTTGCACATTTACTTTGCATACAGGTGGGCTCTCTCCAATTCATCTTTTATTTCAGGAACAAGGCTGGAACCTTGCCAGAAGAAAAGAACCTTAAAACAACTGCAGTGAGAAGGAAATTCTCACTTCAATTAACATTAAGCCCCTGGAATGTTCAAAGTCTCAGCAACACCTCATGGCATTAGAAGTAATTAAAAACAAGACTGGGTTGTGTACTTCCCCTCCCTCCTCAGCCTGGATTGTTCACAAGATATTTGATCTCAGAGCAGTGACTGACTTGAGACTGACTACTTCCTATGTCGTTATTTGGCTCACATCAGCCAAGGAGGCAGAATTCTTGGTGGTTTAAGTGTTTCCTAGAGACATGTGATATAAGACATTTCATAGGTTGTGCCTCCTCTTAGAAAGCAGGTATCACTCAGATAATGAAATCCCCAGATTTCACATAGCCAGTTAAGTTGTTCTTATCCTTCAGATGAAAGATGGGTGTTGCCTGATTACTGCCTTGTGAGTATCAGGGCAGACACCTACAGTAATTGTTAGCATCATAGATGGCATATTATTTCCTAGCTAGACAAACTCTTTAATGCAATGCAATTCAGTAGATTTGGGAAGAGTATTAGGTTCAATCTCAGTCTTTCCCAGAAGTATGGTCAGTCACCTGTACCTGCTTCAAATTCATGAGGATCCTTCAGAGTGCAGACTTCTTTCTAAACCTACTAACCTTTGGCCCACATATCAATGCTGACAGAACCTGTAAAAGTTATGTTTTTAGATTACAACTGTCCGCATCTCTCAGTTATGATGGCCAACAGTCCATGACAGCTAAGGGGTCTGGGAGTTGTAGTCTAAGACAGTAACTTTTCCAAGTTCTGCCTATCAGCCAGGAGCAACCTTGTAAAGTTAAGAAACCTAGAGTCATAGAGGAAGACTCACATGCCTTACTTGTCCGTGCTGTTTGCTAAAAGGACGTGCAAGAATATTGGTACACTTCTTGACATAAACTGCACTAGCAACATCTTTGTTAAGGGAAAGGGGAGTGCTAATCAAATATCTGAAACTTCTAAAGTAATTAGAATGTTCCTGTCAGATCCACCAGCACTAAAGGAGCTGCATCTGGATGCTAACAAACTGAACTGATGCCATTCTTTCGGTAGTCATGGCATTCGTTCGTTCGTTTAGTCGTTTAGTCATGTCCGACTCTTTGTGACCCCATGGACCAGAGCACGCCAGGCCCTCCTGTCTTCCACTGCTTCCCGTAAATGTGTCAATTTCATGTTGGTTGCTTCACAGACACTGTCCAGCCATCTCATCCTGTTTTCCCCTTCTCCTCTTGCCATCACACTTTCCTAACATCAAGGTCTTTTCCAAGGAGTCTTCTCTTCTCATGAGATGGCCAAAGTACTGGAGCCTCAGCTTCAGGATCTGTCCTTCCAGTGAGCACTCAGGGCTGACTTCCTTTAGAATTGATAGGTTTGTACTCCTTGCAGTCCAGGGGACTCTCAAGAGCCTCCTCCAGCACCACAATTCAAAGGCATCAATTCTTTGGTGGTCTGCTTTCTTTATGGTCCAGCTTTCATTTCCATACATCATGACAGGAAAGACCATAGCTTTGACTATTCGGACTTCTGTTGGCAAGGTGATGTCTCTGCTTTTTAAGATGCTGTCTAGGTTTGTCATCGCTTTCCTCCCAGGAAGCAGGTGTCTTTTAATTTCGTCGCTGCTGTCTCCATCTGCAGTGATCATGGAGCCCAAGAAAGTAAAATCTGTCACTGCCTCCATATCTTCCCCTTCAATTTCCCAGAAGGTGATGGGACCAGTGGCCATGATCTTAGTTTTTTTGATGTTGCGTTTCAGGTCATTTTTTGCACTCTCCTCTTTCACTCTCATTACAAGGTTCTTTAA